AGAGAGAGAGAGAGAGAGAGAGAGAGAGAGAGAGAGAGAGAGAGAGAGAGGGAGAAGGGAAAAAATACAACAATGGATTCAAGTTTTACCCCAAAAGAACTTATTAAATGGGTGACCAGGTGTGGCTGTATGGCAGTGAAATTGTTCAAGGCGGCAAGACTCATTCTGCAAAACCTGGTTAAATTCTGCATTCCAAAATTAATTTTTTCAACAATAAAGAATACCGTTCAGTAATAAGAACTTGTAAGCAAAACTGGGAAAACTTTTAAAGGAAAAACAGAAACTAATAAACTTGGTTAAGACTTGCAAGCACCTGAATCTACAGCCTGTACCTCTCGCTCCATGGCTTCAATTTTCACTAGGGGGGAAACAAAGAACTGAGAAAATCTGATAAGATAAAGAGCCGAAATGAATACAATTACAGAAATTTCATACAAAGCTAAATATATTGCTCTAGGAATATATGGAGCACAGAGCATTTTACCATGTATTCTAATTTCAAGCGATTTATATACCTTTGATCATAACTCAATGAAAAGTTTATGGCAAGCCAGATATTGAGGAACACAAAAGAAACACTTTGTTGGATCTTAAGGATCAAAAAGGGAAACCTCATTTCCAATCCAAGATACGGTTAGTGCACCAATAAGTAATATCCTTATCAAGTATTCAGCATGTAAATATAAGAAAAAATGTAAATGCAAAGTAACTTAATTTTTTAATCTGCAGTATAGTCATATCACATTTGTTTCAGAACATAAGTAGGACGATCATAGATATTTTTCAACTACAAATGCTGAGGCAATACAAAATTCAAAGCCAACGCAGGAAGAACCAATAAAACTACAGCCTTCCTTTATTGACCATAAAAATATATTCTATACCAAGGACTTCAGTTATTGATATTCAAAACATGTGGAGCTCAGACTTTACCTTCTCAAAGCACCCTTAAGAAACTCTCGTTTCACTTCAAAATGGTAGCAGGTATGCTCTACTTCTGTGTATGCATTTGATGACCCTCCATGCTTGGACAAGTAACTATCATACTAGCAAAGAAAAGAGTAAAAAACAAGTGGCCACATACACAGCATACCAAGGAAAACAAATTAATACTAGATATCATTTGACTTTTAACCAATGAGACGAAAACAAGATAGCAGCTACCAGACACAATTACAAAGATAAAAGGTTGACATTTGATTTATCCAAAAGGGTTTCTGTTCCCATTAGGTATAGATAGAAGAAAAATGTAAATTAAAATCATTCACCAGTGACACTACTGTACAGTGTACACTGAGTTGTTCCACACAGCCCGACACATTTGCAAGCATGTTGGCAGCAAAAGAACAAGCAAGTCCTCCCGGTCATATATACGTAGAAGACATGAGATGCAATGTAGTAAACGATGGGGATGCCATGTATAAGTCATCAGATGCCATGTAGTAATCTTTAGAGACAAAAAGTTCATTCAGGTTAAGTATTTCCATGTACATACTCTCAGTAAACCTCATTTCTGATAAATGACGTAAAGGATCAATTGCATCTCCTAACGACTTACACATCAAACCCAAGTTAACTGGAACCAAAAAAAGAGGAAAAACGAAGAAGCTTGATCGACAAACAGACCTCATTTTCATCTGGAAACTCTGTACTCCCCATGAAAAGCATGTGTTCTGCAAAACTTTCAATTTGTTAGTAATGTCTGCACATCAACATTCAGTACATCCTTTGACGAAGAATGTGTGCAGGCATAACACACACCAAGAAAATGCGCAAGTCCCTGTGCCTCAATTGGGTCAGAGAAGCTGCCTATTCCTATGGACATTGCTGCTGCTGCCTACAAAGATGATCAAGCATCTTTAGTTATCCAATTAAATCAAATTCATGTAACTGAGCTGAGTAGACATGACTCTGATCATTAAGTAGATTGAAGATCAATGTCATTCTCAGTAAGTATGCTTGGAAATAGAATGACCAAAAACAACGCCAAAAGTTTATAAAAAGACAAGCAGCATACATGAGAAGCTCAACTTGGAAATTGGAATCATGAGCCTATGAAACATTGTATGAAAGTAGAAACTGTTTAATTGTAAGACAAAGAATGATGCTGGAATCTTAAAGCAGTGATCTTGAAGTTCCTCTAATTGGGAATGCAAACACAAAGTAATATTATTTTCCTACCTAAAAGCAATTTTCATAAAATAAATGCATATTTTATCAAGTTTCTCCAACTGGGTTGTCAATAAATAAATAAATAAACTTCAATGCGAATGATGGGCATTGCAGAATTTCAATGTAAATCATAGACCAACCTTCTTGGTTTGGGAAGCATCTCCTTTTCCCTTTCTCTTGGTCTGGGAAGCACCTCCCTTTCCCTTTCTCTTCCTTCTCAGTTCACCGTCTCCACCTTCCGGTTGTTCATCATCTTCATCTCCTACACCGTTCTCTTCAACCTCTCCTTCCCTGTGTTCCTCTGCCTCTCCATCCTCGCCGCCCTCATCTTCCTCCTTTAATTCTTCTTCAGCTTGTTCAGGTGGCCCTTCTGGGTAGATCTCAGGATCGTGAACGAGCAATGCAGTGAGGCCATTCTCGAGCTCAATTAGTCTGTATGATCGTATATCATTCGGAGGAGTTATTACGATATTGTCCGACGAGAAAGTGCAACGGCCCATCAGGCTAATTCAATGCAATGCAATGTAACTCGAAGAGAAAATTTGAGTTGGTTTTTTTCAGGACGTTGAATATTGCATCCAGAAAAAGCAATCTTTCATGAGGATTGCAAATATTTTTTCACGACGTCGATTCTCCAAGCTTTGGTGTGATTGGTGCACTTTTGCCCGTCATCTTCTCAAACATACTATTTTTAGGTCCTATTTCAACCCAGCAAAGTTTGAAGTTTCCATTTTGCCCGTTCAGACAAAAACTAGAGGGAAATAGCCTCTGCTTTTAAAATTGGCAGCGCTTTCCAATACCACCGCTAGCTTCAGCTCTTGCGAGCGGCTATCTCTCTCTTGCCCTTTTCGTTACTCTCCCAGTCCCATCAGAACGGTGTGCCGAAGAGAGA